ATATTTAAGCCACCATTAAGTGTTGGTTTTTGTGGCCTTTCCTGTGGTTTGGCAAATGCCTATTCCGTTAGCCTGTGTTCAGAATAAGAGCTCTGGGTTCTGATGGCCCCGTACACTTAGCTACGCACAGAGACCTTTAATTTCTCTGATGAGCGCTGTTGTCAGTACTCACCTACACTTCGCTGGGCACTAGGCAACCGTTCTGTGCTTGTATATGTGCCATTTGTGTTGCTAGAAAATGCAACTGCACCCATAGAAGAAGCCTGTACCTATGGATATTTCTAAGTGTGAGCCCTAAATACTGTGAATTGCCTCATTTCATCTGAATTCTTATGTGTGATACTCCGTTAGGGGCAAATTACACAAGTGGTTTTCATCCGAGTTCAGACCTGGACTGTGATTGATTGAAGTGTTATGTGTAACTGGAAAATAAATTAAATTCAGATAACTTGTTTTCTGCCACCTATGGGTGCTGTAATTCTCCATTGTTCACGACCGCCCACATTAAATCATGGATAATAATACTGGAACTGTCTTGGATCATTGTTGGAGTGTTTAGAAGTACCGCGAGTTTGCAGCGACTTCGCCATAAGCATCTGATTGCAGTGATGCCCTCTTGCTCATTACATTACTGGTCAATTTGCTCGAAAGGAACTCCTCACAAATGCACGTGCCTTAAGCCCCATGGTCAACCTAAGATTAGTTGCTCAGTTTTGTATCTAAAATGTCCTGAGATTGGTTACATCCTTTGTTTTAATGATAGCTGTGACCTTTTACCTTCTAACACAAGCCAGGAAGGTGTGCTGCAAACATTTAGATGCAGTGGGTTAATTGCCACCATACCAGTGTTGTGATGTATGAGGAAGCTTTCACCCAGTCCAAAGCAGTTGGTACCCGGGTGATCTCAGTGTTTTGTGCTTCATTTTTGCTATTAATAAACACGGTTAATAAACACGTGACCAGCACCCTAACACTGGGGCAGATTAATATGGAATTTAGGAGCCAGTGTTTCCAATCCAGGCCCAACGGGATATTTTTTAGAAGTCCTCCCCATTGGCAACAACTAGTGAGGACCTTAAAAATTTGGCGCCAGCTGTAATTTTTATGGAGAATGGACTACCTGGCTCCTAGGATTTGTCCAGCCCTGCTATCATGATAACCATGACCCTTTTACCCTAATCCTAACCCCAGCCATGAAGGTGTTCTACAAACATTCAGACGTAGTGAGGTCATTGCCTAGATACCGGTGCTGTAATGTGTGAGGAAGCTCTAAGCCAGTGCATGACCAACAGTGTTTCTTGTTCAGTGGTGCTTCTGATCATGTGACATGATTGCAGGGGGTATATTCACCCATTCTTCATTGGTTGACAACTCCTCTTAGTACCTCTAAAAGCTCCACAATGTGATCCATTGAATCCATATTGGAGATTTGGAGGGTCTTGAATTGAGCTACTTGACATTCCATCCCAAGTAGCTTACCTAATACCAAT